CAGAACAGAATTCCGTTCAAACAAGTAAGAACAGAAGATGAATTTGCAATTGTTGTTTTTATGGCGGTTTTGATAAACAAAGAAAATGTTTGCTAACTTTTAATGCCTTAAGCAAGCAGATTTTGCTTTTTTCGTTCTTGTAGTCAAAAATAAGTAATTGCATATAGTCAAGCAATTTCAAAACCTGGCTTGAATAGCTAAAAACTTACAAACGGTCTTCCAGTCACTGTCTTCTTATAAAGATCGAAGGACTTTTAAAGATCTTTGCCAGAATTTCATTATTAATGTAATTACTTTTTCTTATCAAAAATGCAACAACAACGATTTTATAAAAAAGGTAGAAAAGTTTTTTACTGCTCAAATGCATTAATGTTACATTCGCTCATATAGCAATATGTGATTAAAAACTATGAACTATAGAGAGAAACCAAAAACATTTTCTACACAACAACAATGCAAAATTTCCGCCTTCCTCTTGGATGGCCTAATGTGTGTAGAAATAAAATTGCTTGAGTTGAGAAGTCATCTTGTATTTAGTGTTCCCACTTAATACGATATTTGCAGCTTACTATATGTCAAATACGGTCTTGGGAAGTTTTTAAGCTTTTTTGGAAATTTTTAAGCAAAGTAATAAACCGTACAAGTCATTATTTCAAATCATGAATTATATATTTATGTTATATAAATATATTTTTAAAATAAAACACGAATGATACTTTTTATATATTTTTATTATTTATTTAAACATTCACTAAACATTTACAAAGTTAAGATTTTATTTATTTTTATAAAAGAAAATCACACACGAATAAGATATTTATTTTATTAACGAGGACGAGATTTGAAATTTAATATAATGGTGAAGACGTGGTCGTAATTGTACTGACTGCCTCTGAGTGGTGCATTCAGTTTTTATATGGGATGAATGATAGAATAATATTCTATCATAAACCAAGCATCTGTGTAATTACCCAATAGGATCGATGCTTGTAAAGTGTGTCGTAAAACATATTTTATGTTAGGATCGATAATTAGGTGAACGTGACTTTATACCAATATTACTTGGATGCATCATCATAGAAGAATTTCTAATATAATTAGGTGCGTGTTTAATGATCGATCTTTGATGTTAAAGAGATGCATTGTTATAACTTGAATACGCATAATTAATAAACATCTATTAGTTTATTAAACAATGGTACCATTTATTATGTAGAAATGTGTGACGAATTGTCCAATTAGGAATTGTCACGAACAATATTGAAATCGTTCAATATTGTGAATCATAAAATTATATGAAATTGTCACGAACAGTAAAATAATAAAATGTATATTTTATACTGGGTTAACTTTATTACCCATTATATTATATTTGTATTTATTATGCGTTTGAGTGGATGCATATGTAACTCATGAAGTTTTCAATATACTCGTTTAAAGCACAGACAAATAATTATTTGTCTCTATTTAAAGTTTATATGCTTGTATTTTAAGCAAAGTAATAAACCTCATTCATTTTTATTTCAAAGCTTAAGATTTTCATTGTATTCGACGAAAGCAAAGTAATAAACCAACAGCCAACTCTATCCAGACCGTTTTATCTTCCCTTATAAATAAATGCAAAAAAGCTTAACAACACTCAAGTGAAAATAATAGTAAAATAAAATATACAAATTATTGTATATAAAAATTGTTGTTTGTACTAAAAAATCTGAGCTAAAAATAAAATTTTAATTATTTTTAAAAATGGTTAATAATTATTTCAGAATAATAATTTGCTTATTTTAGTTTTATAATAATTATACCTAAAATTAGTATTTTCAAGCCATCACTATTATTGAATTAAGTGCTAATAATAGTTACTTTGAACTGATACAAAATAGAACTGTGCCACTATATTATTTAAGACATGCGATGTTAACTTACCTTCCCAGCTAAGCCATTGTGCAAATGGATTTTCCCATATGTTTCAGTGTTTGTGGTATTATGATTTGTGGGTTGTGTTTGACTCATAAACCCCACACTGTATCTGCACCTGCAGCACTTTGTGCAACATTTGGTTGCAGTATTAGTCGCTGGTTTGTATATGGACAGCACCGCTCCAGGTTAACCGTATAACCGTATAGTCAAACTCAAATGTGGGAAAGGGTGGATTTACCTTCATGTACTTTAGCCTGTTGTATGGATGAGCGGTCGATGTATGCAACTGTTAATTAAATAATTAATTACATTTCAATCGAAATTGAAAATTCGCTTTGCTGCAGTTGACTGCATTCCATTGGCTCGCGTTTTATGTGTCAGCATGTCACGCAGACACGTCTGCCGCCCACAAAATATAAACTGTCGAAGGCGCGCGGGTGTGTGCAGCATTTACCGGCGCATTTTTAACTGAAACTGCCACAACTGGCAACGAGCACACGCACACGCACAATCCTGGTCCGCCGCCGATGCGTGCCCGTTGCGCGGCTTGCATGCCATCCTTTAAATTTTACGACTTCATAGACTTTTTTGTTTTTTATTGTTTTTTGTAGTTTGTGGGAATTTTTTCAATATTACTTTCTGTCATTTATTGATTGAGTGAAAAGTGAATTCGATTAAAAATTCATTTTATGTTTTTAAATTCATACTCACGGCAGCCCACATACAACGGCACACGTGCCTGTCAAGCCAAAAGTCGTGTTTGTGCAATTAAAAATGGAAAAGCAGTGAAATTGTTGAAATATTGAAATAATTTTTAAGAGTCCAGTCCAGTAGTGGCACTTGTGCGAGTAACTGATATTTCGAGTGCAGTCGTAACTATTCGAAATCCTCTTTAAAATATAAATAGTGAATAAATTGAAACAAAAACAGTAACCAAAAACCGTTCAAAAATAAATACAATAAATGAAAATTTCGTCTGGAATTTAAAATGGAAAATTCAAACGAAACCAAAGGTATTTGCGGCATTAAAAAAAAATCTTCCATATAAATGTGAAAAACAATCGCATAAAGAATTTGTCTGGATTAAATAATTGGTACTACTCAGCTTTGATTAAAAACATTGATTTTGCTTTATATGGAGACCATTGACGTAAATTGGATTAATAAAGTTTGTAAATATTGATTTTATTATAGCACAGGAATATTCACTTGTCTCAAAAGGATAAAACTGGCAAAACTGCTATTCTTAATTAGCTTGGGTCGATGCACCGAAAGAGATTTGTAGAGGATATATGGGAATTTCATTTCATAGGTTCTTGTGTTGTATTTTTTAATAATATTTGCAATAACTCACATAAAGTTTTTAAATTTTTCTTAAAAGAATTAATGTTGAGTGAGAAAATTTATAGTTTTTATGAAGAATTTGTCACATATCTCAAATATATCTTGTAAAACTTTTTTTATGCTTTTACGTTGAGCCTTTTCCGAGTTAGTGCATCTGGGCACTTTTACTCTATGATGGCTAAGGGGTTTTTGCAGAGTCCCACCCATCTCACTGACTAATTTGAGTATTCCTCATAGTCTTCGTGATTATTCAATGATTGATCTAAGAACTGCGCACCGCCCCGTGCGGTAAAAAGTTAATTGTGTAATATAACATTGAATTTATGAAGATTTTTTCAATTATCGCATAAATTTTTTCAGCCTTTTTATATAAGTTATGGTATCTAATGCTTGGACACCAAAAAAAAAACAAAAAAGACAATTGCATAGATACTTTTTTATTGAGTTTGATTTTAAAACTGAATTATAATTTTTAAAATTATTTTAATATTATACCGGATGCTCGAGCAAGTGGAGCTTTACGATGCGGAAAAATGCATAGCGATCGTTTCACCATACATTCCATCGTCTCCACATGCATTAGTTAGTTAACTTTAGATGTATTAACTTATATAAGAAAAAGTATTAAGTATCTCATAACTAGTAGGGCACATAGAGAAACTCATGAGAAACTACACAAGATTTAATCAAAAATTAATAAGAATTTTTAAATTTAGACAAATATATCTTGTATAATTTTTATGTCAAGTGCTATGAATGAATTGTTAGTATCGAACTTTACTACTATAAGGAAGCTGTGATATTTAATTAGTATTTACCTAGCGAATGAGCAAAACATACAGGGGGTCCATAACTTTTAACACAATTACCTCCCGTTAAGGCTCAATACCATTAAAGCTCAATACATTATACGTGCTATTAACGCAAGTATAATGCACCAATAAACGCCAGCAGCAGTTAAAGTTAAACGTTTGGTTATAGTTTCTTTCTTGGAAAGGACCGAGGACCAGCTAACACCTACACTATTTTTTGGAACATAGCACCCGGTTGAAAAATGCAACTTCATTTTATATAATTTTGAATACATTAATTTTATTAGCATAACTTTGGGTTTAAATTTCATGCACATCGATATTTCCATTAAAGGGTCCAGTTACTCTCCTCAGTTAGTCAGGACAGTCGAAGGTGTGGGTCCTGATACCCGTGGTAATAGATTTACACCTCCGTACGGGTGCCGCAAGTAAAACGCACTCAAATCCATTTATACTATAAACCATAACGAGTGGTATCGACTTGATTTTAATCGCTTGTTTTGGCATATAAGCTTGGGAATATTCTAACCCTATGTCTGATGCTTCACTGTGTCTAGTGCATCAATCAATCATTGTAGTCAATGAGTCTACGGGCTATTAAGTACGACATAGATATATTTTACTTATCTGAGTACTTGTTGACAGTAGCTTGTCACAAGGTAAGGTATTTTTTGCCACTTATTTTTTTGATATTAAGCGATAATGTATATGTCGTATACAAAAATGGCATTGCAAGACATATAAAAGAACTCAATATAGCTTAATTTAAAGACTCTTTTGACCATCACTAAGTCACATAAACAAAAAATTCCTACATTATTTATTTAGTTCAAAAATTTATAATATTCTCAAATTGTTCTAAACTAATTTTAAGTTGTATTTTAATATTTTTATTGAATGATTTTTTTAAATAAAATGAGTTTCTATGTGTTTTTCTATAGATTTTATTGTCAAAAATTACCCAAACTATTTACATTCATAAAATGGATTCGATATTTCGATGTTCCTGACAATGAGATTTGATGTTGATAAAGTCCTTCCTAATGGTAGAACATTTTTTTTATAAATAATCGTCATCAAGTAGTTTTTTGTTAAAATATTTACAAATTCAAACTACTTACAATTCCAATTCTGCATCGATTTCAATGTACAACGGTTTAGGCTGATACCCTTGAATTCACTTGATGATCATTTTAAGATTATTTGCGATACAAAATGTGGGTTCTTAGAGAAGAAATAACGCCTTTTTGTATGAATGGATATGTATATACATAATTAAGTATTTAAATAATGCCAAGTAAGTCAAAGTTATTTTACTTTTCTTTTGTCAGCTGTACTCTTTGCCCATTTTGCTGGCCTCCATGTCGCTGACGCAATTCTCACTGTCCTATCTACTGTTCTATTTGCTCTTTTTCTTTGTACTTTTTGTCCTCCTTGTCCTCATTGCTGTCCTCTCCAGCCTTTCAAACGCCTTTTTGTCCTCATTGCTAGTTTTCTGCTGTTACATCTGTCCTCGTCCTATACTCCTCTTTTGAGAGTAAGAACTGCGTCTGACGTTTTGCACGCTGACAATGTGAAGTGAATTTCTCTTAAGGTGTGATATTTCAGGTCTATGTAATTTCTTTTAATATACTCATAAACAAATGTACTTAACAAAGAATATACATATTAGAAAGCAAGTCAAAATAAGTTCTTTTTGTCTCACCTGGTTTACTCTTTTGATATTGTCGTTTTATTGATTCCCAAGTATTTTTTGCTGTTCTCACTGTCCTACCTGCTGTCATATTCGCTGTTGTCTTTTTTCTCCTTGCTGTTCTTTTTCTTATCTTTGTTTCAGCTGTTCTCTTGTTCTCTTTGTTCTCTTTGTTCTCTTTGTTCTCTTGTTATCTTTGTTCTCTTTGTTCTCTTTGTTCTCTTGTTATCTTTGTTCTCTCTGTCCTTTTGGCTGTCCTCTCTTCTTTTCTTCTTTTAAGAAACAATGCAAGCGAGAACTACATCCTATGTTTTGCTTATTGACTATGTAAAGTAAATTTTTCTTAAGCGAGGATTTCGATATTTTATGTTGCATTTGGTAGTAGTTGACAGTATTCAAAAGTCATCCATTTTAATGTAAGTCATAGCGAAAGTTGTACTCTCTTCGTAAATCTCCACAATGCATAATATGATAGACTAATACGGTATTCATTCTTTTTTCATCAACCTATTTTTTTTTATTGAAAATATTGAGTTTGACATTTTTAGAAATCCATGTGTGGATGTTGCAAAACTTGAAATAAACTTCTTCCATTCCTAAGAAGAAAATAGCGAAAACTGTACCCTCCTCATACGTTCTCGTCCATGTATGCCTAACATGGTATTTCTTCTTATCTATTAACCTTATTAAATCTATTAAATCTTATTTTTTTTTTTAAAAAATCGATCGTCTATGTGAATTTCATCTATGTGAATGATTTCTCATTTATATATGAATTACTAACTGCCATTGAACACACTTCCTATTGAGTGCCTTTTTTACCACCATTTTAAGGCACTTCCAAACAGATTCCATGTCGTCAACAAGATGTTGCTTCTTCGCTTGATGTATGAATGTTGTCTTTCTCTGTTAACGTTTCATCGGGTATCAAACTATTTTCATCATTCATAATAGCAATGTCCTCTAATTCACCGTATGCCATGTCCAAAGGAGATATTTCATCTTCAGAAGTAGTTTTGATAGATATATCAGTGCCTAAGTTGTATGTAATTTCATGCTCTTCTATGGAAGGTTCTTCGTCAAGCACGGTACTTGCATATTCATTAAATCTATAAACTGGATATGGATCAGTTGTTAACGTTTGAGCACCAAAAGTGCTGTGTCGCTGATGCAAATTCTGGAAAATGTGATGATTTAAGAGAAACGGTAAACGCCTGCGTTCATTTCGGCGCGTATACCAGAGTTTCACGAAGAAGAGGATTAATGCTAAAGAACAGAAGAACAGGACGAAAAACGCGAGTAAGACTAACTCTGACGGTACATTCTGATGCATGTCGAGAGGGTAATGAAATTTTGCAGGTGCACCTATATCGAAATCCATTTTAAAATTTTGAATTTTGAATTTTGGATTTTAATTATGTAAACTAATATGAACTAAACATAAACTAAAATAATTTATAAAAATTTTTATATATTCTTTTTTTTTGAATTCTACATAATTTTTCTATGATTGCTAAGTTGATTTTTATAATAATTTTTTAGATATTAATAAAATCACCCATAGCCCATCAAAATTTTCTTCTAAACTTTCAACTACAAGAAATTTATCTATTGACTCTGGAATGAATACAAATGAACTGTTCGAGATAAAGACTTCGAAAAATGAAAGTCACAATTTTATACAAACAACAACAAATACCAATTTACCCATAACCGATTTCTATAGGAATGCTAAGTTGCTCATCACTGGAGGCACCGGTTTTGTCGGAAAGGTTTTAATACAAAAACTATTACGCTCGTTCGAGATAAAGAAGATTTATATGCTGATACGCTGTAAGGATAATATGACCATTGAACAGCGTTTGGAAAATTTCTTCAAAGAAGCTGTAAGAGTCACATCTATATAAATAAATACTTCTATAATTAATATTTATGCATTAAGTAATAAAGATTGTGGGAAAAGAATTTTTTTTTATTTTGAAATAAAATGAATAATATAAATATATATGTTTTAGATATTCGATAATATACGTGCGGAGAATCCAGCATTATTTCAAAAAGTTCATCCAATAAAAATTGATTTTACTGCTCTTGATTTAGACATTAAGGCTGAAGAACGAGAAATGATATGCAATGAAGTTGAGGTAAGTCTAAGGGATAGTAATGGCATTTTCGATTAGTAAATCTGGATACCAACTAGATTTACTCTCGATCTGTCAAATATTGTTGCTCAATCGAACATTTTTAACCCCGCCCTAATAATCCTCAAGTCCACTTTTGGACTCTCAGGAAGATATGCTGATTTAAGGTCTGTCATCAACTAAAAGACAAATAAATGATATGTTTTTTTTTTTTAGCCTAGTTAAAGCCTAGTGTGGGGTAGAGATAAGCCCCCCAGCCATTATAGAGTAAAAGTGCGTAATAGCACTAACTCAAGAAGAAGAAGAATCAAGAACATTTTTAAACTAATTTAACAATTTTATAGTAGTGTTAGTAGACATTTATTTTTTTCATATATACTTATATCTTGTTTGACATCAGAAACAATAGCTGGTTGTGATTTCTTTGCCAAATATAACGGAATTACACTATTACGTTTAAATTCTATTTCGAATTTGTTGTATTAAGCTTGGAAGCAAATGCTGGTGGTGGCTTGTAAGCAATATAAACAGCCGTCATTCTTATGAATATCACATACTTGGCAATAACAGTTTGACAGATATACTTGTGTGTAGTTGGTAACACTTCAATCGCTTAACCCTGTATATATCTGATTCAGTCATTCTTGGTTACGTCAGGTAGCCTCCATCAGCCAGCTCGATTAGTTACTTGCTGTCGTCAGTTGTTAGTACCGATGATCCAATTCGTTGGTAACCTCGTCCTTCCACCATAGATGCGGACGTCCTCTATGTCCAGCGTTTATGACCTTCGGGTACCGAATCAAACACATTTCTAGCCGGTGCACTTTCTTCCATTTGCAAGACATAACGAAGCTAGTGAAGCCGTTCAATTTGTATGCGCTTAACTATGTCAGTGTCGCGATATAGCTCAAACAGCTCATCCTTCCAACGCGTAAGGGACCATAGATCTTCAGAAGAATGTTTCTCTTGAATGTTCCTACCATCTTCTCATCACTGTTGGTAATTCTTCAAGCTTCTGCAACATACAGCAGGGCTCTCCCTCTGGGTGAAAGTGTAATAATCCGAATATTCGTGTACTTTAAAGTTTTGTCTTTATTGCAAAGGTCCTGTTTTATTTTTTTTTGTTTATGTTAGAGTTTTTATTATCCTTGTGCTCAGATTTAATTATAAAAATAAGGTATTTTATCAGTTAACGATGAAAGCAATTCAAATTACAAACAATTCTGTCTGTAATAATAATATTTTGGTTGTAGGTATATTTTGTGTTGTTGTCGATTATAAATTAAAATTAATTATATTTATCTGTCGTCGATTTCAGTTATGAATGTTTGATGCAATTTAGTCCTTGATGTAATTTCATTTCAGATTGTTTTTAATGTCGTTGCCTCAGTGAAATTCAATGAGAAATTAAGCGATGCCATCGACATCAACGTTTTGGGCACAAAGAAAATTTTGGATTTGGCTATGGAAATAAAAAACTTGAAGGTAATAAAAAGCGGGAGCCTGAAGGAGTAAACTATATTTAAAAAAACTTGTAAAATGAATTTTTATAATATGTAGATATGAAAAAAAATTCTGGTAGATTTGCATTTTATTTTTATGAATTTAATTTGTAGTTTTCAGCTAACAGTCAACTGAGCCAAGTGAATGCCTCAGTAACGGTTTTATTCAAAGTCGCAGTTGCATTGCTGGCAGCACTGCAGTTGCCGTTTAACGGCATTGCCAGCTCAATTCAGTTCATAAAAGTTTGATGTTTTTCAATTAAAAGTGCAAACATCGAAAATGTAAACAATTTTATTGACAAAAATTTTGTTTGCATTTGCTCACTGGCGTATCCTTTCTGTTTGATTTTTTTTCTCGATACTCGATATCATTTAAAAGCGTGCAAAAAACAAGACATAAAATTTAACAAATCTCTTTGTTGTATTCCAATCAATTTCAGTCATTTGTCCACATTTCAACACTTTACTGCAATTGCAATCGACAGTTTATCAAGGAGCAGGTATACGAGACCGAAATTGGCTATGAAAAAATTATGCAGGTGGGTAGCAATTTCATTTCATTTTGTATCTACAGTGTAAATATCTATATAGATAGAAACACTATACATCGGCATATATATTTATTATATATATAAATAATATTATACATACACTTATCCAACATGAAAGAGTAATCAGAAATTCGGGGAATAAAGCTCAAGCACCAGCGCCAGGATACGAATGCATATCAACAGTTTGGATGCGATTAATGCAATTTAAATAAATAAAATTCCGAATGCACAAAATGCATTAAAATGAAACAATTAAGATTATTTTTATAAAATTTTTTTCGTCTAAATTAAAAATTTAATTTGAGTCAACAATTTTGCTAAAGCAATAAAATGTTTTTATTTGCTGTGTTTTAAGTACTTGAACTCTTAATTGAATTGGCAGTTCAAAAAAAATAAACATTCATTTCACGGCTTATTTAACATTATTTAAAATTAAAAAGATTTTATAGAAAGTATAATATACATTCAAAATAATATATAACAATACAATATGTGTATTCCTTTATATAGATATTTCGCATATTTGATGATGTGACGTTGGAAAAATTTAGGCACTGCCTCATTGGAGAAATGCCAAATACTTACACGATGACTAAGAAGTGTGCTGAAAATTTAGTTAATCATCGTGCCTTCTATTTACCCGCCGGTATATTTCGACCACCAATAGGTAAGTCAAATAAAAACTCAAATAACAATACTTTCATGCTAATCAATATGTAAGTCAAAGCACGATTCAAAAGGCAACACTTTTAAAAGTAAAAAAATTGTTAAATCGATTAAAAAACTGGAGAGTCAATAGTTCCAGAGTCGTGAAAAATCAAACAACAAAATCAGATGCATTCCAAAATTTCTTTCATATTATTATTCTCGACTAGTCCATTCATAACTCTAGTATTGTAGCTGCAAACATTTACTCTTCTTAGATCTATTTAACATAGTTCTATATAGTCCAAAATAAATATCGTCACTAAGTCCAGACAGATATTGGTGTACACCACTGACACTAAATCATCTTTTGATGATCCGAAAGAGTTATTCAAGAATTCTTGGTCAAGGATAGAGCAGATGGTATAAAAAATTGTGCTGCACATTAATAAATGACACACCTAACACACGATCTGCATGGTCTGCAATAAGAACATCAACAACTGGTCGAACTATCAGGGTAGTGAAGTCCAAGTTTGAAATAGTGCAATTTCTTATGGTAGTTACCTTGAATTAATACGCGGACGATTGTTTCTATGTAATAAACCCTACTATACTCTGTTAAGATTCCTTTTATTCAATAATATTATTAGAACAGCGAAATTATTGACGTATAAGACAATGTAAACTCGAGGAAAAGGGGATATTCTAATTCCCGAAGTAGGGAATATTCTAAGAGGTGACTAAAATAAGTAAGTAAGTACCACCCGAAATTGTTTGGAATATAAATGACAGTGAGTAAGATCATGTGAGTCAGAGCCCGCAGCTTCTGCTGTCCTGACCAATAGAAGTTGGACCCTTTATTGGGAGTATCGTAATGACTGTGATTAAAACATGAATTTATGCGGGAAGTATTCACTTCTATATGATGTGGTTGTAGTAAACGAACGTAGTACAACACTGGTAGTAAACGTACGTTGTACAACGCGGGACAAGAGAAGAGCAGTTGGGAGAAGAAGGGCGGCAAGATAAGCGTTTGGTGTAAGATTAACAAGTGGTGTTGTATTTTTTTAACCAAAGAGCAGCAGAGTTGTTTGTTAGGTTTCGCTTCTAGCTTCTATTATCTCAAGGAAGAAAATATAGTAATCCAAATTCTAAGTTTCAATTGGCACCAGCATGTTAAGAATTCTGTGGTGTTAAGTATGTATTAACGGCGGATAATTACGTTAAGAAACTAAAAACTCTGTACCAGACAAAAGTCTGGAGGTGGAGGGGCTTTTTGAATGAGTCCAAGACCTGACACCACTTGTAGTACATATGACAACTATTTTCAATTTTGTTAATTTCCCTTGTAGGAAATTTATTTTTAACAGTTGTATTCGACATTTTTGCCTTTAATGAGCAGATTTATTGATAATATATTGATATTGATATTCAGATAAAATAGTTACTCTATTTTATCTATGGACAGTTTTAAGTCACACTAAATACGGGGCTTTACGGGGCTTTATAATATGATGGATCTGATGTCTTTGTATCTACCTGTGTTTATCAAATTTCGCTGTATTTTTAGGATACTGAGTGTTGGATTATTGTGACTGTCAATTGTATTGAACAGTTTCAGAGCACGATCTTTAATGTATTTTTCAGATCTCCACTCTCAGATCTCTGTGGATATCGGCTCCTCTTACATACCATGGGGCGTTAACCAGTTTTCTTAAGGCAATATTTTGCCCTCTGTGAAGAATTTTTAAAGTTGAGCTTGGCGCTTGGCGCAACGCTATACTGCCATAGAGTAGTCCTGGTTTAATAATTTGCTTAAATGTGCTAACTCTATTCTTTATGTTGAGCTTTTTGCTGCTGATGAGCGGGTGAAGGGAGTGTAATATTCGGGCAGCTTGAGCTCGTTTGGAGTTGAAATGTGCTTTCCAGGAGTGCTTGTTATCAAAGTTATGCCTAGGTATTTGAGAGTATCGGCCCATTCTATTTCTTGTTCTTCTACCGTTAATTTTCTGGGAGCTTGATAATGAACTCATTTATATGAAAACACTTTGTGTGGTAAATCATCCTCATTAGTGGCTTTATTAAGCAAAACCGCCTAAATGAGACAGTGTGAATGCGCTATAAGTTTGATAGTATGCAGTAATTCAGATATTTTGCTATGTTTGTATTGCATTCAAAATAACATATATACAAAATAGGTGCAGTTTTTCATACAACATCTATAAAAAATGTATATAAAATTATGCTTAAATTCTTCGAAAAGTACATATGTAAGCATAGCAATAATTTAATGTTTTCAAAATAAGATTTTTAAATTTAGGTTTTTATTAATCCACAGACATGTATATAATCATTTTTATTTTATAAAGAAAGCCTCATAATAATCTGATTTATTACAATAACTAAAGTTATATTGAAGTCACAATCTTTTAAGTTTTAAAATACATATTCGTTTTTGCGCTGAATTAGGTCTCATGCTTATAGAAACTGTAGTAAAAGTTTTGAAATATAGGATTTCCACAAAATCCATTGGAGACTAGTATAACTTATATCAAACCCAAAATAAGTTCAAAGGAACTGCACATAAAATAAAACATTATTTTCTGTTCGAATTTAGGAACTCATTGTCACATAATTTTGTAGCTAATTGTGTTGTAAAACGAATAGATAACAGAATGTGTGCATTTAGTGACTAGAACATAAACCAAATTTAGAATAAGAAAAAATTTGAGAATAAAAGTTAAAATCATTTCTGGTTAAGTCACAAGGAAAACTAAGCAAATTTTCCATTTAGAGCAACAATGAAATGGTCCCAAAGCAATCAGTGTTGCAAAATGTAAAGAAAACTAAAACTAAGAAAATAAACGACAAAACAAAAAAAAAATATAGAAAAATCTGAATAAAAGAAACTTCTTGGGGATGCAAATGAAGATAAACATATTAAAACACTATGACACCACGGACACCACCGATACTAATACGTACCCATGTAACGATAGGAACACACTGAAGTGCAACTGTGCACACATAAGTTGCTTGGCTCCAACGTACTGGTACAAGGACAAATGGAGAGATAAGCACAAATGCGCAAATATTCATTTACGTTACCAATTCCCAAAGTATTTTTAAACTATTTTTCCTCATTTTCCAATTTTTCGCATGCATTTGGCTCTTTGTTTCTCATTTGAATTTGTATCTTTTAGCTGAAAGCACCAAACCAAACACACAAGTCAAAGTTACCAGTACGAGTACTCATGAGCAGCTGCTCCAGCAAAGATAACAACTCCTACAACTCGAAACATTTTCTGGTAACAAATAAATATGAAAGAAAAATCTTCGATTCCAGCAAATGTTAATGTGCAGCTGACTGCCACTGGTGCCATTGTTGCTGCTCTTGCCATGGCCAACAAACACCAAAAATTATAATAAATACACAAATTCTATTACAAACACATTAATACTCATTTATTTCAGTTATGTCAACCTACAAGGATCCATTCCCCGGTTGGACTGATAATTTATATGGACCATCTGGCTTGTGCACTTGGTCGGCACGGGGTGTGGTGCGTTGCATATATGGTAAGGCCAACTGCAAAGCGAATCTGGTACCAGCGGACTATTGTGTCAATGCAATGATAGCTTGTGCTTGGGACATCTGCCGAAGGTAAGTGGGCTTACAGTAGTGCATATGTGAGTTGCGATAAAATATTGTATTTTTAATGTAACATAACATTAAGTTATATAAAAAATATCCACGGATTTTTGTCACCAGATGGCGTTGGTATCTATATATCTCGCAAAGTTATTCCGATTATGCATTATAAGATAAAAATGCTGAGTTACGCCAAAAACATTGCAACCAAAATTAACTAAGGAAGTAGTTATGCATTAAGAAACCAATGGGGTGATATAAAAAGCATACACGGTTTTTCGTTATTAGATATTGTTATTAGGTAGATCCATATAACTGACAATTGTTATAACGATTATGTCAAACTATTGAAATGAAGTATCAATTAATCACAACCAAGTGTAACCAAATAAGTAATGCATATGAAAAAATTAGAAGTTAGCATGAATGTTAAAAAAATTCGGAATAATTTTATTAAGGAATGAGACTATTATTATTATTGTTAGGGTGTGATGTGACACATTGTTAGGATGTGACACTGCGACTGTCGGGTTTATTGTGCCCCCTTCTGGGTTTAGAATAGGTCTCTAAGTCCTGTTGCGTCAATAAAAAGTACTATAGAACCAACTACACAGTGGTTTATTGCCTCTTCCGTATGACTATGCATTCCCAGGAGCCTATTCCGTATGTGCATTAGCACAGGGTCTTCCATCAGTACATGTGTGGCCGACTCCTCTTTCTCTTTACAGAATCTACAGTTTGCATCCGTAAGTATACCCAGGCTTGTAAGGTGGTGTTATAGTTTATAGTGCTCTGTTATCTGTTGAGACTATATATACTTATACTTATTGGAAGACGGCACTAAGTGAACATAGTATTTTTCAACGTAAATATTGTTTTTGTTTCTTTATATTTTACTACTTTATGAGTATTATATGATTGAGTTCCTGATTGTATCGGTTTCAGTTGAACATGTCGAAGTGGTTCACCATTTTGTTGTATCAGTCAATTGCATCAACTTTCCATATTTTCCTTAGCTTGGCTTTACCACATTTATTAAGCGATGTCTTATTAAGTGCACGTTGCCTCTTACTGTGAGAGAATCCAAGGATGGCGAGTATTACTATCTCCACTTTCTGTTATTAGACACTTCTGTGTCTGTTATAAGTCCACATTCTACTTTCTTTAAACTATTTGGCTACTATTTGGCTTTCCTTATGAAGTTAAGCAGATCCAATAAGTCCATTTACTTTATTTATTTCAGTCGTATGAAAAAACAATCTCTTAGATATTCAAATTCCTTTGTCTCTAGTCATGGACAAAGATATAGAAAATATTTAATGGAATTCATATTCTGTTTATCATGGCTCCTCCTGTGGTGACAGGTTTTCTGAAAGTGTGAACTTGAGACATCAGCCTATTGTGGAAGTTTGTTAAAACTCTAAAGATCTTTCGTTGTTTTTTCTCATCTAATCTAGGCTATTGAGGTAGTAGCATCTTCACAGACCTTGAGATGAGTCGCTAGAAATTCATCTCAAATTCATTTTCGCTAGTAACTGTATTGGTGAGTGCATTGTTGAATGCAGTTACCAGGTAAGCTAGTTCGGAAAACTATTTAAGCACTTGAACTCCATACTGTAGATTAGACGGGAAAAGAGTGAAAGAATTTTTAGTCCTAAAAGTTTATACAACGGATAAGGTAACTCTTACTTTGTTTTAGGAAGGATATTTTTTCTTCAAAGAATTCATTGTAGTTAAAGTGAAAATTACTATGTTAGATTAGATTAGATTTTAAAAGGGTTAGGAACTTAAATTAGTATGTTAGAATCTATAACTCTCAATTTGATTAAAGCAACAAATTAAATTGGAGTGCAACTATGAAGATATTTCTTTTGAACACTTATCGTATCTTTCGAGATTTACAAAATCAAAGTACATAGATGCAAAGCGAAGGTAATGAATTGTTGAAACTGTCTGAGACCAAAGCTAAACACTTTTCACATACTTTTATGCTTTTACTGTTTGGATTTTCGTTTTATTTCAACTTTTTCATTTTTATTTCCATTTTAAGGTATAAACTGCAGGAAAAGGAAACAGAGACCAAGAATGAATTACCCGTCTACAATTACATATTCGATCGCAACAATTTAACCTGGGGTCAGTACATGCATTTGGCTCGCAAAGGATACCACGAACCATTTGACAAAGCTTCATGGTAAGTCTTGTGTCCTTTGTTTTTATTTTATGTCCATTTATGCAATTAAAGCAACAAAGACTGTTCGGAATTTGCTTATTTAACGAGCATAAATATTGCGCAGGACACATAAGCACCAAGGACATTAAATAAATGCTTATGGTTGCTTAAGATTTATTAATATTGAATTAACTTAATCTTTCTAAATTTTTTCAAAATATTTTTTCTTTTTATAAACAAATGTACTGCTTTCTGCTCTCAAACTTTTAACCATATATTTCTTATCTATATGAAACTCACTGCTGCTGCTTACCTATGTGTACTTCAAACAATCTTTCATCGTGGGCGATTTGGATTATTGTACTCAAACCCAAACGAATCGATATACAAACTATTGGAAATGGTCAAAATGTTCAATCTGTTTTTCGAATCCCTCTGCTACCGCAACATAAAATACACCTACCTTCACCAACATCCCCCACTACATTCTATGGATTTTATTTCCTTTAACGTGCTTTGTTATTGACTTTATTTGCTGCCACAATATTTTCTAACAAAAAACAAAAAAAAAAAACAAACACGAAATGGCATAAAAACCTGGAATATCATTTTTTCAACTTTATATTCAATCTGTTCTGCTGTGTCCTGCGACTTCTTGCATCCCGATATTGAATATATGCGAATATTTTGCTCCTTGTGCCGTACCGCAACTTACATTTGTTTGCCGCATTATTGTCACAGGTGCTTCTCATATGTTATAATTCCATCGAAGCCATTGCATTGTGCAATTGCATTTTTCTTGCACAATATCCCCGGTTATATATTAGATTTAATTGCCATGGTTACAGGACAAAAGCGAATGTGAGTATTTAAACCGTAAACTTTGGATTTTCTATTTACAAAAAAGGGACATATGCACTCATACACACACACAAGCACATCCAAATACATCCACAAATATAGAAAATGCAAAGATATTATACAATATGTAGAATTTATAAGAGCAGATTATTATTGCTTAGAATTGCTTATTTATGCATTTCTGATGCACATGCATAGTTGCTCACGTCCATGCCGAACCAGGTCACAATAGTGATTGCTTCTTAAGTCCCATAATCTAACATACTACACTTATTGCATTCTAGAAGAGTATAAATATTTTTTAATTGTGATTGCTAATATCGAGAATAATCGAAAATGCGGTTAAAATGAGTTTATGGTAGACATGGATATCCTTATTTAATGTTAAGTCAAGTTAATTTTAAGGATTTATTTTACTTAGGAGCTTAAGCAGTAAGTATGGTTTAATTAGGTTTTAACCTGTACTTCAATGTAGAATGAGAAACAGGGTGCTTTATGCCCAATGTGAGGTATAAGTTCTCAAATGTCGGGTACTTGATTGTTAAAGACTGGAATTCTTGTACGGGAGTATGTATGTTTGTTTGATGTGCTATTTATATAAAAACAGATTAAGATCAAGTAAACATAAGGGGTTAAGTGTTGGGGTTAGTTTAGTAAAAAATCAATTTATTATTAAGGAATTTTACTCTGATAAGTGAATAAGTTCTTTAGAAGTGCAAATCATCTATTTTGGAGTGAAACCCACATTAAACGCCTCCTAAAAGAATTCGCACAGAACGTTGTTAGGAGTGTTTCGAATATGCTATCTTTGAATTTTAAAGGATTTTATAGAAGTTTGGTCAGTGAATTTAAGTAATTTAAGTGTTATTTAAGTATTTAAAGTTGGCAAAATAATTTGTTGAAATTTTTTATAATAACAATAATTAAATAATATAATACTTTTTAATATATCCCATTGATCTGATTGAAAATGGCAAGATTAACTTACTTTTTTAATTCTTATCTTGATACAACTTTAAAGTACTAAAACATTTATTTTTTAAAATAAATATTTCTAAATTATAAAGGAAATCTAACTTCTCTTCAGTTGTGACCAAAATCCCTCGCCTTTACTAAAGACTTCCGTGGAGATGCGGAATTATATGTATCTGAAAGAAAAGAAAAGGAATTATAAAAGAACTAAGTTTAACTTGTGGTCTTAATTTATTGCTTGATCACTATTCTTCTTGACTTTTGATTACTTATTCATTAGTTACTTTTTGCAGTAATTAATATATTTATCTCATCGGTTTACACATATGTTTTGAGGACAATACGAATGAATTATGATCAGTGAAATTTTGAGTTCCCAGAACACTTCTATGTTGGAGTACGATTTCTCAAGAAGTTTGGCAATGAGTTGATCTATTGGGATATAAGCAGTATGTATACTCAAACTCAGAACAAAAATTCAACTAAAAATTATTCTTGTCAATACATATTGCATTGACGTTAAGTGGGAGATTGCAAAGTAGTTTGAAATATTACAAATGAATTACTTGCCTTCAGTGTCAATTCTTCTGTTTCTGATCTAAAGTTTAATTTAATACCAAGAAATCCAAAAAAGAAAGATCTATTGCTTTACTATTTGTAAATAAATTGTAGTTTCACTGTATTTTATGCAGAGCTCTTTATGTGATGTCATATGAAACGATATATTTCTTCTTCTAGGTGCCTTGTTCAGTTCGAACGCTGGCTAACATGATTGCGATTTTAACTTAATCTACAGTCTCTCGAAAAAGTGATCTTGTGCTCTTATTGAACCATTGACGTAAATTCATCAACCATGATATTTTTCGTCTCCCAAGGCCACAACGTCTACCTTAAATTCTGCCTTCAATGATTAATTTTAGCAGTCTGTACTTTTCCGGATGCCTCAGAATATGACCAAAAAACTCCAACTTTCGTCGTTTTACTGTCTCTACAGTACATTTAGAATTGCAAAATACAAATTTATGAAATATGTTAATAATTATTAATTAATTAGCAATTATTAATCATTTTATTGTTAATTTATGTATAAGTAGCATTTATTAATTAAGTAAAAAAATATATTCGAATGCGATGTTTTCTTTGTGGTATTTGTACATATATATATGTTCATTCAAAAAGTGATGATGAAAAAATTGAACACTTCAAATTTCCAACCTTTCATAAACACAAATTCACCGCATACATTTTGTGGATTTATATACTTACACACAGGCACATTACCGCATCAGTAAATTTTAATATAAGCACACTGCATCCATATTGGAAAAAAGCACGATAAGATTACTTCCACAAACCAGGTTTTCTGCAGTCACTATTGCACCACCCGCACACTTGAGGGATTTTGCGAAATATTGTTTAATCTGAAATACTTTTCGGTTTGTTTATGTATGCAACTTTTAAACGCGTCTACCTGTACATCACTTGACAGATATACAAAAGCTTATCGAAAAATATCGAAAATAATCTACATGATGTCCTGGTTTGGCCTGAAGGAATGGAAGTTTGCGCATCGTAATATTGATGAATTGGATGCAATGTTGGTGGGTGAGGAACGCCGCCTGCTGCAATTCAACATGACAACCATTAATTGGAACGAATACTTTCGCTCATATCTCAGCGGTATACGCAAGTACTTTTTCAAGGATAATGATAATAAATTGCAGAAGCGCAAAACTATTTATCGCAGGTAAAAATGCTGCTTCACTTAGCGTTGCAAAATGCATTTCAATGTGCAACGCTGTGCAAAAATGCAACTTACAAGCATAAAATTTATTTTTCTTACTTAAGTAGTTTTTAATTACTTTCTTCTTTGCTCTTTCCACTCATTTTATTTATTATTTTGAAAAGTTTTCCTATTTTTTCATACTCCTACACTACTGTTTACTCGTACTTAGTGTTTGTTGCTTTCGTGAAACATTTTATGCCCTTCTTACTCATTTAACTTCACTTTTAATATTGCAGAATGCTTTTCGTACATAATCTACTGAAGTCAACTTTGGGTATAACGTTCATTATGTGTCTTATAAGAATTTATATAAAAATTTTTAAAATCATACCGAAAATTACGCTTTAAATGGTTGTTGCTTGGCTGCTCAAATTGCACTACTGTAGATGGAAGAAGGCTGAAGGAGGAGTGAAGCAATTATAAATATACAAAATAATACGTAAAAGAATAATAAAAAACTAGATAAATTAAATGTTTTAAGTGAAATTAATGTATTGTGTTTCTTTGTGTCTGTATCTCAAAATAAACGTACATACAAAATTCGTACCACATAGCGTATGAGTGACATTTTCTTAGTGCAAATTTTCATTTGTATAATAATACTTCTGAGTCAAATTAAAAACTGCGTGAAAATTTGATATTTGTTTACCGCAACTAATGTTAGAACATTTCGAAGTAAAGTGAGTGCAACAGCTTTTATTTAATTTAAGGAAATTGATGGCATAACCGAAGTAACCACATAAGATAATAACATATATCTCAAGATTTTTATGACATTGTAGGTGACATGAGCCTCCAAAAATGTTTCACTTAACTTTTGTTTCTCCTTACAGACTACTTCAGTGTGCTTTTAGTATGAAAATAGGTTACTACAGTTCCATTTGCAGTAACCATTATACACCTTATTCCTGTCAACATAAATGTATTGTTATGTTGCCGTGAACATTTTTAAAGCAACAATTCTTTCTACATAATATATTGTAGAATAACTAAAATGTAAAAACAAAATATTTATTAACAAATATTAACGCAGCCCATTAGAACAAGCAACTTTGAACTGAAGAAAAAATTGAAAAGTAATAATTCTTTCAAGCAGACTAACATCGACTATATTTCCATATTCGACTCTCCTTGAGAGTCATCATCTGGATCACATTCAAACATAAATTAATATTAATAAAATTATATCTACATCATCCTCTTTGTTCGTCGAAATATAGAATATTAAATATTAAAAAATATTAAACAAACGATGAATTATTTAACAAAACGTGACCTATAGCCGGTCACGGCTATATTATATATTATTAAAAAAACTGGTCGATAAATAAATTCAAAATTATATATCGCAATTATAAACTTTAATCAATTTGTTTGTTGTTGTTTGCTTTGATTTGAAAACATCATTCAGATGTGTTATATATTTGGATATCTTTATACATATATCTATCTACATGGAAGTATGCTGACCATAGTTAGTTTAGAAGCACTCTCCATATATGTATATTTCGCAGTTTTTTAAATAAATCTACAAAATGCAGTTAAAAACGATTTTTATTGTTGCTGTTGTAGTTAGCGCAACTGCATCTGTTTGTGACAGTATTTTGACTTTAGATTTCATATTATAAATAAATAAATAAATACGATTATACTCCCTCTTCATTTATATAGCCAATCGGGACCAAAAAAAAAATTGAGCAAAAATTAATCTAAAGAAAATTAATCAGCATACTAATATAATAAAATAATTATAGGAAATTATATTTAAGAGTAAGTATATTCACCCATTACGGTTCTTCTCTATATATATTTCTACGTGTAATCGTTTATGTGTTTCTGGACATCGTTAAGAGAAGTACTTATCACTACTTTCGTTAGCCTACTAATTAAAATGGAAGACAATCACATAACAAGACATCCGGAGAACTTATTAAAAGAATATCATGAATACTGCAAGGTTTACTGCAGTTCTCTCTGGTCACTGGTATATATTAAAGGAACTCACATGTGTGGGCACTTGTTATAATACTCACTGTGTAAGTTGTGAACAGAAATAAGGAAACTCTTGTTTTCGATAATTTCTATTAGTTTTTGGGTGCTTTCTTGATAGTTTGTCAGTATTTTCATCGGAGATGATGAAAGGTCTATTCAGATTTCTTAAGATCTAAATGCGATGGGATGGAATTAGTTTAGAAAGTTTCTTGCACGAAATGTATTAGTAAAGCGGTGTAAATCACGAATTGTGTTCGGCAGAAAATAACTCCGAACTGTGACAATAACTAACCAACCAATCACTATGTAAAATTTATTTTTAACTCTATATAGATACATATATACACTTATTTCGAACTATATTAAACATAATCAGTGTAGCATTGATCAGCATGTTGAATAACTGAATAATTGCTAAGGATTTCTGAATCACTGACGTATTACCTTGGTCCATTTACAAGTGCCCTTAAACATATTATATCCTTAATTGTCACTGTTTAAATTATATTTTATTAAAAGAAAAAAAAAAACATTTTTTATAATTTTTACTTTCAAATCAAAGTTAAATACTGAAAGGCAATGTTTCAGAAAGAAAAAGATAAAACTTCACTGTTGAAAAATGTGCACTAGTGGCAATGTCATACACACAAAAAGGACATCAGAGCGTTGCCACATTGTACTAACAAATGCAAATTCACGCTTAACACTTGCATGGCGGTTGCAAGACAATTCAAGAGAAACTTAAAAAATGAATACAAAAAAAAAACCAGAAGAATGGAATGCAATTTATAAAACATAAAAGTATTACGAAAAAAATAGAAAATGCGAAAAAAATAACGAAAATAAAATAAAGAATAAACAAGTGACTTTCTGAAATGGAACACTCAAAGGATTTGTAAATGTCAGTTTAATTTTTTTAAGCCCCAAGTAAAAACTGAAGGAATTGCAGTGTTGACATTTTTGGTTAAATTAAAAAGTGATAAAAAATATATAACCAAAAAATACAAATAATAACTATTAAGAAACACTTTAAATAAACCTAAATACTACTGATTTTGAAGGATATAGCTTTAAGTAAAATAATGAGTAATATTAAGTAAGATCGAAGAATGTCAAAAAGTTGTTTTACAAACTTTATTTATTTATTTATAAAAAAATTGCTTAAAATACCATTTCTATTAGTATCTTATACTTGTATTTTAAATAGATTTTTATAAAATTGATTTATTAAATATCATAATTTAATACTAATATAACACATCACTCAATAAGTCGTGTGACTAACTAAGAAAAATAAATTACTCATCAATAACTTCTCGATGTCGTGCATGTAGAAGGATTTGTCTTTTACCTCAAAATAAGCTTCAGTTTCAGCAATTACTTCTTCATTTGAGTTGGATTTCTTAAGGGCGAGCATTTTTTTGAAATCAGCGAATAGCCACTAGTCGCTGGGGGCCAGATCTGGACTATACGGAGGATGAGGAAGGAAAGCGAAGTGTAATTCGTGCAATTTTGCTATCGTTTTTATTGACTTGTGACATGGTGCATTGTCTTGGTTTTTTCACAATTTCTGCTTTTAAACGATCCAGTAATGCCATGTAGTAGTTTTACTAATGATGGTTTTTCCCTTTCGAGATACTCAATGATAATTATACCATGTGCATCCCAAAATACTGAAGCCATAACCTTCCCAGCTGACTGTTGTGCCTCTGGACGTTATGGGTTTGACAATAACAGCTGTGTGTCAGTCACACGACTTATTGAGTGATGTGTTATATACATGGATTGACAATACTTACGTATAAATCTTGTATTGATATTAATAAAGTAGTGTCCATTGATATTATTATTATGTGTAACGGATATAGTAAAATACCGTTAAGTCGCAGAATATAAATACTAACATACTCGTCCAAGCCTAAACTGATGACCTGTGTGTTCAGATATTGAGGTACTTCTTAAGAACGATTTGCATCAAGTTGCAAGACATTTTAAATAAGATCGACAATTGAAGCAATCCTCATGACTTCTTGGTGTCTAGTTAACTGATAATATATAATAAGTTTGCAACAGTAATAATCTTAACTAGGAAGGCTAGGAGTTTTACTAGGAAACTCAAAAAAGAAGGCTTGTTTTTTTTACTTTAAAAGGAAGATTTATCTTTTCTGTCTTCAAAAGATAAATATTTGAGTGTGACCATGAAGAGTAGTCTTACATTTAAGTCTGGCATCGACCACAAGGTTTCACACGCATTATAGGTCCTTTCTCAGGAGTAGAAAATTTATGTCGGAACATGCGTTTTGTATCTAACAATATGTTTTTTTGGATTACTTCAGTTTCATTAAACCTTTGAGTATATTTGCTTTCGTAGTATTTTGACAAAGAACTTTGGTGGAATCTATAGTTTCTTCTATTGCCATACTACAAAAATGCATTTGTTCAATCATCTCCTTTATACTACTTTAAGTGGTGATATCAACGCACTCCATGACTAACTTTCACAGATCGTCACATCCATAAGGAAGTAATGAAAACAATTTGTAGATAAAATATATTTGGAGTCCGGCACGGTAAGGGGATATAGATATCATACAAATATATCATCAAGTAGGGGACCAGTGCTTGCTCTGGATGATTACGAAATCTCTATATGCATTGGTCGAAAATATGAGATTATATTCCTAGAGTGGGAGTCCAGAGATCTTGCTCAGACCACTGACTAGTAAATTTGGCTCCTGAAACTTCAATAGTACTGGATCTAGTTTAACTTGGACGTTGATGCGAGTATTATTTTGCCACGAAGTTGACGACCATCTTCATAGCACTAGCTTGAGGTAGCGGTAAGAATACAGATTTGTTGATTTACTCATATACAGTAATGAGGAATAAATCGTAGTCTTGGACAAAGAACGACATAATCTAAGCAAATTAATACAGCATTTATGAGCTTAGCCCAGGGAATCACATGGATTGTCCTATCTACAAATTTGCTTGAGGTAATAGCAAGACAGCCATTGTGAGAGTCTCACACATCTTAATTGATCATGGACCAAATGTAAATATAAATAATTGTGTAGTACTTTATTTTTAGTGAGGAAAGGAAATATTACTTTATTTTGTTTTCAGGGAGGAACTATTACATTTTTATTATTTCAGTTTATTGGAATAACGTATGGGCTTTTTTTTTGTTTTTGCTTTTATGGTTCTATGTGGGTTGTTTTCTTCGTTATCAATATCCTCAAAAGAACAAAGTATATCGAAACTAATATTTTACTTTCTTATATTTTTTATACAAAAACCATTTAATAAACTCTTTAAATTGTATGAAAATTATATACTATATTGATATTTTTTATATTAATTTTAATTTTAAATATTTCTTAACTCATTAAGAAAAACATGTACAACTGCGAATTGTTAAAGTTTTGCACAACTTTTAGTATATAATTTATTTTGTATTTTAATTAAAAAAATCCTTTAGTAAAAATAATTTCAATTTAAACTCTACCACTGCCACGCCCAGAAGTGTATATTTACTCATAATTACACGCACAGAAG